CTGGGATAGAGAGGAAATCACTAAGTCAATGATGATTGGAGGAATCGTCTGGGATGGGAGATGTGTGCTGAAGCAGATAAAGGACCAAATGTGATAGCCTCTCAGTATCTGTATTGCAAATCACAATGCCCAGAAGTAGAGAGAGAGAGAGTATGGGGGAAACTGTCTGCCATAGAGGCAGGGGGAGAGTTCGAATGGGGGGGAGGGGAGATACTGGGGACAATGGTGGTGGAGAATGTGCACTGGTGGAGGGATGGGTGTTTGATCATTGTATGACTGTAACTCAAACATGAAAGCTTTGTGACTGTATCACACAGTGATTCAATGAAAACAAATAAACAAACACAAGGGATAGTCTTGCTACCTGGGAGCTGTGTGACCTTCAGTGAGTCGCTTTGGAGAGCATCATGCACAAAATAGAGGGAATCACAGCATTTCTGGCAAAGCAGGGTACTGTGAGGACAAGATGGGCTCATGTGAACCACAGCCCCCGTATATCCAAAACCCTACGTAAGTATTTGCTCCCGTTTATTATCAACTGTGCATTCCAGCACCCAAGCTCCAGGCTTATTGACTCACTTTACAAGTTTTGGCTTTTGACTATCCTAATTTAACTCATTAAAGGGGATTTTAATTAAGCAACTTGGGTTGCATGACAAAACAGTTCAAATAAGGAAGGTAAAATTGGAACCAAATCAAAACAAGGCAATGATCTGGGGTAGAGAATCACTCCGTGTCCCCTATCTCAAACCGAGCTAGTCAGCAGTGAGTGAGGGGGGTGCCCTGCAGTCCACTGTTTGATTATTAAAATACTATTATTAGAATAACACTCAGAGTTGTCTGCTATTCGGAGTCAGTACTCTTTGTTTTTCTTCTCGTTGTTTGTTTGGTTTTGCTTTTTGGGTCACGCCTGGTGGTGCTCAAGGACAATATGGGAGATGTTGGGGATCGAACCCAGGTCAGCCTTGTGCAAGGCAAATACCCTCCCCGCTGTGCTATCGCTCTGGCCCAAAGCTCTTTGTTTCTATACGAGGTCCAGGAATAGTGCATCCACCAGCTCCTGCATCCTACCCAGTTTGCTCAGGGTGACATCTGGGCTTCATTCAGAGCAAAGGGCCAGTCAGAGCCAATCAAAAAACCTCAGGCCAGCTTCTCCCCCCACGTTCTCCCCGCCTCTTCCCAGCTGCCACAGCCTAATGTGACAAAGGACCCTCCTGAGGAACTCATGACACACAGTATCTAAGATGAAAACCAACTCTGAAGAATGTGCACACTTCAGTTGTTAGGGTGAAGTTATAAAAGTGATGCAATTTTGAGCCATGAGCTGAGTGCATGCTTTGCACATAGGAGGCCCAGGTTCAATCACCAATGTCACATGGTTCCCACTGCATACTGGGTGGGACTCCTGAGCACTAGGAACAATAGCCCCCCAAACCTGTTGGATGTGCCCCCCACCTGCAGCACTGTCCTCCCGTCGTGCATCGATGTGTTCAAGCGGGCCCAGTAACGTCTCCATTGTGAGACTTGTTACTGTGTTTGGCATATCAAATATGCGGGCGAGATACTCTTGGTAGCTTGCCAAGCTCTCCGAGAGGGGTGGAGGAATTGAACCCGGCTCAGCCTGGCCGGCCATGCGAGGCAAATGCCCTGCCCACTGTGCTATCGCTCCAGCCCCCCACCCTCTCACAAACAATTTAATGTCAGGAACATATCTCAGTGGAAGCACGCAAGCCTTGCCCGTGTAAGACTCTGGTTCCAATCCCCAGCACCACCCCCCCCCACACACACACCCCAGATGTTTTAAGTATTCAAAAATTGTTTTTAGCTACAGGAAAAACAGTTACATTCCACAAATCAAGTTAGAAATAGAGAATTAGCTTTTTAATTTTCACAGTCATGGTCCTCCCGTTGTTCACCGATTTGCTCGAGCGGGCCCAGTAACGTCTCCATCATGAGACTTGTTGTTACTGTGTTTGGCATATCGAATACATCACGGGGAGCTTGCCAGGCTCTGCCGTGCGGGCGAGATACTCTCGGTAGCTTGCCGGGCTCTCCGAGAGGGGCGGAGGAATTGAACTCAGGTCGGCCATGTTGGCCGCTTGTAAGGCAAACGCCCTACCGCTCTGCTATAGTTCCAGCCCTTTAATTTTCAATGACAGAATAACTTAATAAATGACTTCAAAAACATCTCCTTGGGGCTAGGAGATGGTAGAGGGGCCCAGGGGCACACGTTCCATGCAGCTGGCCTTGGTTCATATCCCTGCACCACATGGTACCCCCAAGCATTGAGAGATGCTCCCTAGGATGACCTCAGGAATCCCAGGTACCACAGGGCCCAGGCAGCCCTGTATCCCAGGGGCTTCCTGATCATCACTCTGGAGGACTAGCTCCCCCCCCAACACTCCCCAAAATATCTCATTCTGAAAAGATTCGTTTCTCTTCAAGGCAACTGGTCCTTCATTCCATCCCCAAAAACAGGAGTAAAAGAGAATAACCACAAAAATTAAAGTGACTTTAAGATTTGGCTTGGTTTAGGTAGGGCGCTTGCCTTGTACATAGCCGACCCCGGTTTGATTCCCGGAAACACTGATGACCTTCTGAACCCTATCAGGAGTGATCCCTGAGCACAGAGTCAGGAATAAGCCCTGAGCAATGTAAAGTGTGCCTCCCTCCTCCCAAAAAAAAAGTAAAAAAAGATTTAACTTGGTTTTTCATATTTAAATGAGACATTTGTGTCTACATTAGCCTATTTTGGTTTTGTTTTTGTTTAGATTTTGGGTCACACCCAGTAGTGCTCAGAAATCACTTCTGGAGGGGGTTGGAGGGCCCCTATGATGGGCTGGGGCTCACACTGGGGGTCAGCCACATGTCAGGTCAATGCCTTAAGCCCTGTGCGCACTTTTCATCCACTACATTAAGCTGCTTCCTAATGAGTAACTACAACGCAAAGACATTCAATCTATCAATACTCAACTCAAAAACACTGAAGTCGCTGTCAAATAACGCACTTGAGGCTAGAGCGATAGTACTGCGGGTAGGGCGTCTGCCTTGCATGCGGCCGTACCGGGTTCGATACCCAGCATCCCAAATGATCTCCTGGAGCACAGCCAAGAGTAATTTCCCAACGCAGAGCCAGGAGTAACCCCTGAGCGTCACCAGGTATGACCCAAAAAGAAAAAAAAAGTCAAATAATGCATTTGATACTGTGTTCCACTGAAGAGGTGACCGAGCATAGAACCAGGCTGGTGAGGGAAACACACAAAATTGGAAAGGGGAGGCTGAGAACAATCACACGGGGACTGGAGAGAGCCCCACGTTGGGCCAGAGAGACAGCATTGAGGGGTAAGGCACCCCCATTACAGGTGCCCGAGTCGGTACCCCCCCACCATATACAGTGCCCCAAGCACTGTCAGAAGGAGCCCCCAAGCACTGCTGTCTGGGGATGCGGCCTCAGCCCTCTACACCCCCCAGCCCCCTCCCCACAAAGAAAACCCTAGAGAGAAATATAAACAATGCAGGAGACCAGAAAGGAAACAGGGTGAGACCAATGTGTTTAAGATAACGGCTCCTGTTTTAAAGGTCTATTTCCCTTATCAATATACACAGCTGCCGAACCCGGACCCACCCGGTAACACAACAAAGGCACCAATCAACCCCCTCCCTTCTCCCCCTAAAAATATTGCAGACTGGACAGGGTGGAGGGAGGGGCAGAGGGCTGGGGGCAATCGCTAAAACTGTTGCACAGATCAAGTGACTGGACACTATCAAACCTAAGAGCAAGGAGGAGTGGGCCGGGCACAGAGGGAATGGAAAAAAAATGCCAGGGACACAGAGACTGCACCCACCCGCGCGATGGCTCTGCAGCAGGGTGGGCTGTGGGATGTCTGGTGCTCGGTCTCCCCAGGGACGTGCCTTGGCAAGAAGGAGCCGCATCCCACAAAACTCTCTATGATGCCACACAAGGCAAGAGAACTATGGAAGGGACTGTCTGTGTGTTTGGTTCTTTTCTGGGTCGCACATGGCGATGCTCAGAGATCCACGCCTGGCGGTGCTCAGGGGACCATATGGAATGCTGGGGATCAAACCTGGGTTGGCCGCGTCTGAGGTAAACGCCCCTCCCTGCTGCACTATTACTGCAGCCCTTCGTTTTTTACCTCCTTAATTTTGGCGGGGGTGGGTTGGGGAGGAGGGTCACATGCAACAGTGCTCAGGGATTTTTTTCTCAGCTCTGTGCTCATGATCACTCCTGGCAATGCTCAGGGACTGAACTAGGGGCAGATGCACACAAGGCAAGGGTCTTTTTTTTTTTTTTGGCTTTTTTTTCTTTTTGGGTCATACCTGGCAGTGCTTAGGGTTTACTCCTGGCTCTGCACTCTGGAATTACTCCTGGCGGTGCTCAGGGAACCATATGGAATGCCAGGGATGAACCCCGGTTGGCTGCATGCAAGACAAACGCTCTATCCACTGTGCTATCACTCCCACCCCAAGGAAAGGGTCTTAACCTCCATGCTGTTTCTCCCCCAAGAAACAGTCTTCTAAATTACAAAAAAAAAAAAAATCCTCCAGGGGGTAAGATGCTTGATCTCCAGCATCCCACTGAGTCCCCCCAGCCCTCCAGGAGTAAGTCCTGAACACTGCTGGGTGTCATCCCAACCCCCACCCCACAAATAACAACAACAATAATAATAAAGGGCAGGGGAAGATCATTTCTGGCCATTTCTTGTAAAAAGGTGTGATCGCAGAAGGAGCCTGCACCCCGGTAACGCAAAAGGAGTTGGTCCCCGAAGACGCCCAGTAAGGAAGCAAGGAGTAAGAGGAAGGAAGTTTCAAGGGAGAGAGAAGCAGGAGTGTGTCCTTCAGCGTGACTCCACCCCCTGTTCTCACACAAGGACTCATCAGGGGGAGGTCTGGGCTGCAAAGGCCTCCGAAGCGGCTGCAGCTACGAAGCTGGGCGAAGCTGAGCCGCGAGGCGGGAAGGGCTGTGGGCTCGAGCGTCTCACCTTGCTGCTGTGATCCGTCTCATCAGAGGATTCCAGGTCCGGCCCTTCGCTCTCCTCTGGGGGGGTTTCGGCACTGCTGCTCGGCTCACTGCCCACGCTGTGTCCTGCAGGGTTGGAGGGACAAGAACACATGGGTGAGCACTGAGCGCAACTGCCCCGAGCCAGAGCCAGAAGGGGCGCGCTGTGTGGCATGGGTTAAGCCCTCTCCATTAACTGGGCTAGTAAGGGTTACTGCGAAGGTGCTGCGGATACTTCCAGGATTTGTATTCAACAATGTCATACCTTTTGTTATGTTATTACAGGCAAAATGCATACCAAAATGCAATGTTTAAGGGCTTTTTTCCCCAGATTTTATTTTGCATTTTTTTTTCTGTTTTTCTTTCTTAATGTTTACTTTTTCATTTTACACGAGTTTAAAGAATACATGCACACCTTTATTCATGGCTGCACTTGGTCCAATACAGGAAAACAACCCAAATGCCCAACTACAGATGAATGGATAGGTATGTCATAGCTTTATGGGATGCCCTGCCCCACCCCCACCCACATCATGCATAAGTTGAAGTCCTAACCCCCAACGTGGTGGAATCTGGAGGCGGACTCAAAGACATATTCAGTCCTTATGATGAGTGAGGAGATTGGCTTTTTTTCAAAGGCTGGAAAACTAGCAGTATCTTCAGATATCTTATTCTCATCATGCCCTATATGACCTCTGTGAAGTAAAAGCAAAAAAAAAAAAAAAAAAAAAGATCCAGGGCCAGAGAGATGGTTCAATGGGCAGAGCACATGTTTTGCATTCTTGAGGTCTGGACTTAATTCCCAGTACTGCATGGGCCCCTGAGCACAGAGCCAGAAATACACTCCCACCCCTAGTTTCCTCCCTTCTTTTCCCACCCAACCTATGGCGAGGAGGAGGGTGTGAAGGGAGGCTGGAGACTATGCCTGTGGCCCCAAATCTGAAATAAATAAAGATAAACCACTTTCTTCTGGAACCAGCTATCAAATATAACGAGCATCTGAATCTTCAGGAGAATTATGGTTTGATTTTTCTGGGGTTTTTTTCCTGCCCCCCCCAGTAGCAGTCCTCGAGGGATCACGCAGTAATGGGTGTCAATCTTGGGGTCTCCCGCAAGCAAAACCTAAACTCTAGTACTCAGTCCTATCTCCTTAGTCAGAGGGTTCTGTAAGGCAAATTCAGAATCAACAGCTTTTAAACTGAACCTACATTCTGAATTTCTTTTCATTGTGGCAAGTGCCCTGCCCTTCGGGTGGTGCTCTGCAAACCAGGCTGTGCCTGGGATTGAGCCTGGAGCACAAAAAAGCCAGCACCCCAGGCCGTGAAGTCATCTCCTGGGCCCCAATTCTGCCTTCCTTAGAAGCTGCAATCAGCACGGCAGCCCACGCACCACACAGGGAGTAGCACGTCTCAAGACTTTTAACAACCTCTCAAGGCAGGAGAGAGAGGTAATCAAACCAGTCTGGCGGGGATCTGAGACTCCTCGCAGTCTAACCCGAGGAGACAGAGGGAAAAGAGAGGTGTAAGTTAGAAAGACCTTTCTTTGCCTGATCTCTGGACAAAAAAATGCCTTGTCTGCTAAGAGGCAGTCATAATTACTTCAAGGATGCCCATCCCTGTCAGTGGCTTGCCATCCCTTTCTATTCAAATTCTAAACTGGGTGGAAAATCGGGAGTGGTTTGATCCCTTGGCAATACACTTGCCCCCCTCGCCTTCAACCCCCACTGCCCAGAACTGCCAGGAGCAAGCCCCAAGCAGAGAGTCTGGGCTGGTCTGTAAGCCGACAGGAATAGTCCCCAGCCCCCCTTCACACCCTCCTCCTCGCCATCAGTTGGGTGGGAAAAGACGGGAAGAAACTGGTCTCTAAGGAAGTTTGCAGCCAGAAAGCAGCTTGCTTGCAGTCCGGAGCCTGGGGGTCTGCCCGCTTTCCCCTGTCTTGCTCTAGGACTAGAATTTTCCTTACCTTTAAAAAAAAAGAAAGAAAAACCAGAATATCAGGTTTCATTTTGATTTGCTATTACTGTTTAGGTAATAGGGTTACATGAGTGTTCAAGTTTCTAGTATTGATGTATAAAGTTCTTGCTTGCGCGCGCGCGCGCGCGCGCGCACACACACACACACACACACACACCAGGGAAGGAACAGAGGAAGTGGCTCATGGGACTTCGCTCCCACCCCTCCCCTTTTTGTTGATTGTCAGATACATGCTGTTCCCTCCCTTAGCACCAGGCATGTACTCAAGACCCTCCACGTATGTTCCTGTGCTCACTTCCAGGAAATCTATTCATTCCTACCCACACAGCCTTGCCATTCTCAGGCCTGTCTTCCAGGTCTCCAAGGCTTATAATCAATTGATAAGGTCCATATCCTCGATTTGTTTCTCTCTATGCTGCAGGTAAGTGAGACCATCCCCTATCCACCCTTCTGTGCTTGAGCTGCTTATCTTTTGCTTTTTTTTTTCCCTTTTTGGGTCATACTCGGCGATGCACAGGGGTATTACTCCTGGCTTTGCACTCAGGAATTACTACTGGAGGTGCTCAGGGACCATATGGTGTGCTGGGAATAGAATCTGGGTCGGCTGCGTACAAGGCAAACACCCTACCCACTGTACTATTGCTCCAGCCCCTCTCTTGCCTTTTTTGACATTATATGCACACTCCGTGATGCTGGTGGGCATCAATGGTCCCTTCATCACCTTAACGACAGTCAACAGCCAGGTGGGGTGGAGGAGGGGACAGGACAGACCAATAACCACTGGAACGGAATATTGAGTGAGCAAGAATAAATGTGGACTGTTAGGACAGATGAAGTTATGAAATTTGCTTATGAGTGGATGGTCGTGGAGGGCATCATGCTAAGTGAAATGAGTCAGAAAGAGAGGGACAGACTTAGAATGACTGCACTCCTTTGTGGAATGTAAAATAATATGAGACTGACACCCAAGGACAGAAGAGACGAGGGCCAGGAATACTGCCCCATAGTTGGAAGCCTGTGTCATGAGCTGGGAGAGAAGGGATCACTAAGTCAACGATGGTTGGAGGGACCATTCAGGATCGGAGATGTGTGCTGAAAATAGATAAAAGACCAAACGTGAGAGCCTCTCAGTGTCTGTATTGCAAACCATAAAGCCCAAAAGTAGAGAGAGAGTTTGGGGGAAATTGTCTGCCACAGGGGCAGGGGGAAGGTTGGAAAGGGGGGGTAATACTGGGGACATTGGTGGTGAAGAATGTGCACTGGTGGAGGGATGGATGTTTGATCACTGTATAACTGAAATTCAAACATGAAAGCTTTGTAACTGCACAGCGGGTAGGGCGTTCGCCTTACAAGCGGCCAACGTGGCCGACCCGAGTTCGATTCCTCCGCCCCTCTCGGAGAGCCTGGCAAGCAACCAAGAGTATTCGATATGCCAGACACAGTAACAACAAAGTCTCCAATGGAGACGTTACTGGGCCCGCTCGAGCAAACAATAAAAAATAAATAAATAAATAAATAATGACTGTGGAATTATCTAACCTCTCCCTGAATACATTTCCTTCCTAACGCAAGCCTCAGGCTGGAACTCTCTGTCCCTCTTGGCACTTGCAAGCAGGAACATGGTTTAGTGGAGTTTTTTTGTTTGTTTGTTTGTTTCTTTGCCAGGGGATGGGGGTTATACTCAGCAGTGCTCAGAGATGACTCCTGGCTCGGCATTAAGGATCACACCTGGCTGGGCTCAAGGAACTGTATGAGATGCCGGGGTTTGAACCCAGGTGAGTGGCATGCAAAGCAAAGGCCCCGCCCACTGTACTGTCTCTCTGGCCCCCTGCAACGCAGGAAAGATGGAGTAGAAAGAAGCGTGTGGGTTGCTTCCTACATGGGCAATTAAATAAATAAAATAAAAATACAAGGTAAGGGCGAGGACTATAGTCCAATGCTTAGAACCCTCGTTGGGGCGGGGATGGAGTGATTAAAAAATGTCAGGGGTCACACTCCACATACTTGAGCTGAGCCTCACCCACAAGCGAATCCCCAGAAAACCCAGCTACGCGGGACTTTGTGACTTGAGAACTCTGGGTTCAATGGAACAGGGCACAGGGATCCTCCACCCGTATTCCAGTTTCTGGCAACTCAGCAGTCATGCCCATAAGTCACCTCTGGCTGGCACCTGATAATCTCATCACCAGCCACGATCCATAGTCATGTGTCCTTCTCTCCCAGAAGGGAGCATGACACTCGCCATAACCATGCTGCCGGACCTCGCGCCAGGCTGTTTCACTCGGGCACCCCCCCCCGGGGGGGGGGGGGCGGGTGAGACCCCCTACCTGCCCCAAGGGACCCAGTCCTGGCAGCCCAAACTCAACCGCCATCATGCTCACGGCCGAGCCTCACCCACGAACAAACCTATTCCTGGACCACACGGCCACATTTGCAGCCTGGTGTCTACTCATACCTCACATCACTCATACTCCAAGAGTACCGTACCACATTTGGATGTGGATGCATCTCATCCTCAGCACCAAAATGGGGGAAAAATAAAACAAAAACAAAAACAAAACAAAAAACACCAATCTAAAAAAAAAAATAAAACAGAAAACAGCTATTTGATTCTATGCCTCAAAAGGGTACAAAAGCCGGAAACACAGCACAGGAACTCAGGGTCTTGCCTTGCATGCAGCAGCAGACCCCAGTGCGCTCCCAGACTTCACATCTGGGTTCTGAGCACCCACCTGGAAGTGGCCCAACATGCCATGGTCCCCGCCCCCCCCCAAAAAAAAGCCTTTTTTGGGGGGAGGGGCCACACCCGGTGATACTCAGGGGTTACTCCTGGCTGTGCACTCAGGAATTACTCCTGGCGGTGCTAGGGAGACCATATGGGATGCCAGGGATTGAACCCAGTTCAGCTGCGTGCAAGGCAAACGCCCTCCCCCCTGTACTATCACTCCGCCCTCCAAAGGAGGGTTCTTAAAAGGGTTAGCTTTGCCTCCTATATTAGGAATTATGTTAAATTTAGAAGGACAACAGAAAAAAAAAAAACCTGGAGTGATAGTACAGCAAAAGTTGGGCTTAAGCCAGGTTCGGTCCCCAGCATCTCATATGGTCCACCCCCCC